ACACCTGCCAAGATAATGACGGATTTTCCTCCTTCGCGCATGCGCATTCGTATATTTATCTCGGCGGATACAGCACTTTTACATAAAATTAGGGTTATATCCTTGGCTGTCATGGATAAACAGAAGATAAATGCGCGATTGCACATGCGCGAGGGAGGAAAAGATAATTTTATCTTGGCAGGCAGTAAGATTCACAAAGCTTTATCTATATGTAATATATCTATGGTTACAATTAATCTCAAAGTTTTCGTGCTCAAGGTCGACCGTGCAAATCGTCTCGTCGTGTTTCGCGTTATTGTTTGATCGAAGTGTGAAGTGTGAAGACCGGGAGTGCCGTACAAAGTGTCGGGCGATCGACGTATCGCGTTAATTAGCATCCGTGTGATTAGTCGCGTTCTTCTGATTGATTCGTATCCGCGCGAGTGAAATGTGATAATGAAGAGGACGACGACATCAGGATGATGACAGGGACAACGGCAGCGGAGGCAATGATGACGGCGGCGACGAAGAGGAGACCGGTGAGTAAATCTATTTATTCATTACACTCTTTTATGACTAATTATTCAGCTGTGCGAGATGATTTAGCGTTGCCGAGTCACATATTTATCACGCCTCGACAGATGGTTAATGCTATTGACTTGAATACATTGCAAGTTAGATGTCTAATAAAAAGTAGGATGTTCATCTTCGTTACATTCTTCTTCTATCAACAATGAGATAATAAATTTGGCTCTTTGTATGGAAGAATAAATAATTTAGTTTCTTGTTACTTGTTTTCAATGAAAATATAATGTTTTAAATTTTCTTTTCTAAAATGAATATCCAACATACCGTAACTCAGGTTGTTATTGTGAGTTGCGTCATTTTCTTATTATAGTTTTAACATAATGAATTAATACAAAAATAATAAACAGTTGCAAATAATACATTATTTTTTTGGTTGTTACTAGATATTAAATTAAAATTCCATAATATGCCAGATTTTAATAATTCTTACATATATATTAATTTGTTTTTATTAATCAATTTTTTGAATTTTAAAAATAATTAGTTTAAGTTTAAAAAATTAGAATAAAAATAAAACTCTTGGTATGTTATTCATTGTTATAATATTTCAAATATTATGTGTCGCCAGATACATATTTTAAATTGAACAAAAAATGAAAGACTTACAAGTTTGAAAACAAATCTTAATTATTAAATCCATTATATTAACATTGTTAAACCTATTATCTTAAAATTTGCAAAAATATTTAACTTTGAAATACATATATTTTTTCTTTATAATACTACCATTTATTTTATAATAAATTTGTTTGATAAATAATTCAAATTAATATTATCTGTGAAGCGTAATCAGGTTACCAATATAAATCTATTTATTGAAAATGTATCTGCAAACCATCAATGTCTCCTGTATTCACCATGAAAGCTCAGGGCTCGGTGGTTTAAAGTGAAATTTGTTTATTGGAAAAGCGTCAGCCAGACGAAATTAATTTTATATATTGGAGAGGCACGATCAGTTTATTGAAGATAATTTTATTTATTCGGGAAGCGAGTTCCCGCGCAAGCTTACCAATACGAATTTATTTATTGAAAATGCGCGTTCATGCGTCAGTATCAATTTTATTTATTATATAAACGTGTTCAGGGAAACTAAATTAAATTTGTTTATTTGGCACATCATCCAGATAACTGAAGCTAATTTTATTCATTGGAAAAACGTGATCGGATTATTGAAAATAATTTTATTTATTTGGAGGCATATTCATATTATCGGTTATTGACGAATTAATTCCTATTTGATGATACGAGTTTGTTCAGTGATAATACACCCTTAGATTATCAATGTTAATTTATATGTAAAAGTCGAAAAAATTCTTTAAATTATTAAAATTTATTTTATACATTTAAACAGATAAACTTATTTTCTTTAAAGACATATGAAAATTGCAATCCAAATTAACTCGATAAAAAAGAAATAGTTATATTACCGTGCAAAGTCTAACAAATTTTAGAAATGCATACATATGTTGATTCTTTCATTCTTAATTCATGATAATTAAATAATATGAATGTATTTGTTATAGAATCAGTATTAATAAAAGTATATGTAATGTAGATTATTTATTTATTTATTAAAGAAGCATATGTAAAAAATGAATTATTGAAACAACCAAAGCAATTTTTATGTGAGCAATCAACTCAAATACAATAATAGAAATTGCACTTTCATTATATTTATCATTTATATTTTTCTTTTAATTTTCTTCTTAACAAAATTGATGAAAAATCATAATTATGATTTTTATGATTAATCTTTGAGTTATGAAAAAACTGCAAAAGAGTTTTTACGGATTAAACGTTAAAAAATTAAATAAATAACAAAATTCGTCAGTTAGTTTTAGATAAATTTATTTTAATAGAAAATTTTAATTTATTGGGGACTAATTACAAATGCAAAAATTGAAAAATTGCAATAATTAATGATCTTCCTCGACATTTTCATTAAAAGAAAATTGGTTCCAAGTTGAATAAAAAAATCTGTCATTAAAAGGATATGTATATGTTTATTTTAAACATTCTAGCATTAATTAAATTTATTTAATTATTATTTAATATATATTTGTTAATTTATTTCATTTAAAGATGTATAAAAATTATTTGAAATATAGTTGCAATCTCTCTCAATATTAATTTACTAGGGCAAACGTAATAAAATTATCATAATTTGGAAACATTCTGTATTAGGATACAAAAAGAAACCCCATGATTAAAAAATCAATGTGTATATAGTATATACAGGGTGGGCCATTTTAATCCATCCACGC